TATTTTGTTTGCTCGAATTCATGATACGAAAGGATAACTTTGATCTTTGAACAAATTCCTTTCCGTTTCCTTCTCTGTTTGAGGAAAATACAATCATATATACACACACACAAAGAGTGAATCTCCATATCCATATATGAATTATTTTTGGCTACATATTTACATTCCCTAGAAGCCATATCCATTCAAATTTGTTTTTAATTTTTATTTGATGCCCATTTGCTTTTATATACAGTTCAGGGAATCATATCTTAATTCTTTTTTTCTACAGTGAATTTCCATTCTATACTATGCCCTCACCTCTGTCAGCTACCACAGCGGCAATGACAATGGTTATCCTGAACTGTTTCCCCAGTTTTTTTATGTTTCTGATGGGGAAAGCTACCAAAAAGATGTATCTGCTCTGTGTATCTCGTCTAATGATGAGGCTAAAGCAACCTTCGTGATTTTGTGCACAGATATCTCAGGAATCTGAATGTCAAACAATAATGAATGGCAAAAGATTTTATTTTCTTTCCTCCACAAGACTGACAAAGACAAGATACTCAACTGGAGCAGAGTGCCGGCCTGATCTTGAGTTTGGACATTCTGCGGAAGGGGCCATTTCTAATTTATGAGAGATGTCATTAATCCCCAGTTTGTCAGAACCTGCTTGACAATAATACATCATGACAGTTGAAGAATTAATATTTATTAAATGTCCTGCTCTTTGGATGTTACAGAACCATTCCCCATAAATGACAAATATCTTCTAAGTCATCTCTAGCGTAATGAACAAGAAAGAAACAAAGAATCCCAAACCTAGTCAACTCAGTGAAATACTAAAAGAGCTGCAGTAATATAGTTACTTGGTGTAATCCATGCAAAAGACTTTGTACGAGATGCGTATAAGATACTCTTCTTTCTAAGCATGTGTTTCTTGCACTCTTTCTATCCCTCCCAATTCTCCTTCTAAGCTCATAAATAATTCATAGGCTGATAAATATGCAATTTCAAAAAGTGCAGACACCGCAGCATGTGGAAGAAAAAAAAAGGTTGATGCTTTTCACACAGAAGACCTGAACTGCACTTAACAGATGACACATTTTCTAGGATTCCAAAAGCTTTAATATCCATCTAAACAGACACACATCTCTGCTGCAGCCTTCTGCGTATTACACATACATACACAAGTGTATTCCTGGCCAGCTTCTTGCTTGACATGTTGTGAATTATATTTGCAAGCTGTATGTGTGGAGAGTCGGGTGGGTGCTACACACCTTTAAAATAAAAGAATGATCAAATCTCTACGAATGTTTTCAGTTCATTTCCAGAAAGAAACTGAGTTGAATGTTTCCGTTATATAAGCAAGTACATTATATAATGTAAACCATTCAGAATGTGGAAATACTATAAAGCTCTTTTTGTAGCACACACATTGTAGTAATAGCCATCAATTCAATCCTTCTTGAAACTTATTGCAGAATTTGCTGTAACAGGAAATACAGCATATAGCTTTGCTTCCTGCTTTCTAAAAGGTAAATGCCACTCAAATGGCTGGATTCTGGGGTGAGAAGGAGAGCAGCTAGCTTCCATTTTGTAAACTAATTGCTTGATTACAAAAGTGAATCAAAATGGTGGATCATCTCTTCCATCCTCAACCAGCTCAGTGCTTATATGACAGAAGAAAGGAGACAGCATTCAATGAATACTGGCACTTAAATCAACATAAATATAAAATGCTGTGTATATTTTTCTATTAACACATATATAATTGTGCATGCAAGAACACATAACAAGAAGAGATCCTACCCAGGTCTAGCATGGATATTGCTATTATAGGTTTGTTAACCGTTAAACATAAAAATGGTTCCATTCTGTGAAGGGTAACCTTTTGGACGAATACTTAAATTGGAAACACTGTGGGAAAGAAATAGACCACAGCATTTAATTTGGACCGGCTAGTTGGATGCCTATATATTCTCTACAATAATTTGAAATTTAATTAAACTACACTGTTGATGCCAGTCATCCCAGCACTGTTAAGATGATTAATTGCATGCTTAAATGAAATATAAAACTACCTTTAAAAAGTAACATCAGTGCAAAACCCTGACAAAGGCAACCTCTGATGTATTTGCAAACACAACACTACCTGGTTTTCATGTTACTGTTTGGAAAAGTGGTTCGCCTATGAAATACATGAAACATTTAAGAAAATCTTTGATACAGGATCCTAAATGCAAAGCAGTTTTAAGCAGTTTCCACATTTCCAGGGATATATCGCATCTGACTTCCTATTCTGCAGAAGAGGGGGTTTTTTTCTTCACAATTTGCATTGTCATCGTACAGAATGACCCTGAGACTGGTATACAAACAAGATCTGACACACTAAAATAGCGGGGCTCTCCTGTCACAGCAAAGCAGCTGGACTGTTATATATACCACTTTGTGTCTATTGTATTTCTACTCAGAGCAGCAGCGGGACAAAAGGCCTGACAGGCCAAAGCATGGATTGTCACCTTGATTTGTCCAGCCTAGCAGATATGCAGAAATGCATTATATTCTTCCACTTTTCAACACAGCTGAGAAGCAAATAAACTTAACAATGTTTACCAAATTATTCTAGCCAAGAAATGTTACATAGCTCAATTCAGAAGATAGAGGAATTTATAAACAGCTCCAGAAACATACCTCTAGAACTATCTATATTGTAGATTTTGGTCAAACCCAGAGCCTGGTGAGGAACCATTTCTGAATTCATTATAGAGTATTCTATTACTAATTTCTAGCCTTTGGGTTAGTGTTTTGGTGAACCGAGTTTGACTGTAAAGCAGAGAATTGTAGACACAGCCTTTTTGAGGCCTTCCTCAAACGTGTTTCCTAGAGAACAGATGTGCAAGGCTTTGTGCACAAACTATATATAACATATACAGGGTTATGGATGCATAGTGACCCAGAAGCACTCCAAGTGGCCAGCTACTGATCAAAGGACATTTAATATAATGCCAAGTTTTCAAACTTTATGTTTTTCAAAAATTGTTTTAAATACAGTACAAATGTACCCTTGGTCCGCTCCTGATATGATAAATAAATAAATAGTGACCCAATTTCCAGATAATGCTGTTTTCTCCCATACAACGCAAAGTTACACAGGCAGATGTATTTATACCCATTTTAGTCATCAATAGGCAAACCTATTTCCACAAGGGTACTATCCTTTCTAGACTGATATCTCAAGACTCTGCTTAGACAGGCTATTTACAATGTTGCCTCCAAAACAAAGGATGTTGAGCCCACATCAGTGGGCTGTAGTTATGCACATGTAATGGGCACTCTAGCTAAGAGTTGAGAGAACAGAAAACCTGGCCAGTACAGTAATATGGGCTCAGCACTGCTTCTGTTTCACATGTGGCAGCCCCCATTCAAAAGGCTCGACTTCCATTTGCTTTGCTGTGTGAACACAACAGTGTGAAAAGGTTCATAGCAGTGTTCATCATAGAGATGGTGTGGCTCAGTAGGGTCCTGAGTGCAGTGGGCACTGTCGACTTTTAATGAATGGATTGCTTTATGGAGGTAAAGACAAAAAAAAGGTGATTGGGATGAATGTCTGTCTCCCATATTTTAGCCAAGTTACCAGAGCTGACAATGCTAAGCAATGCTTTAGTGGTGCATGTACCAGAAGAACACTGTTTGTGTAGCTCTTAGGTATTCAGTGGAGGGTTGTTGTTGATGCTGCTGTTTTCAAATGCACTGCACTCTTTTGTCTGTGCAAGACTGAATGTCCTACAGAAGAACAATAAATGCACAGAAAATGTGTTTTCCTCCTCAAATCAGAAGACTGCGTTTTAAAGAAGAAACATACATGTAAAAATACTAAGCTATTATTATAAGCAATTTTGCAAAAAGAAGAATTTTATATAAAATTATATAATTTTATATAAAATTATATACATATCATAACATGTTTGCAAAATTTAACTGACATATGATTTTTAAAAGAGTTTCACATATGACTTTTCCTGTATAACTCTAAGGAATAATGCTAATAAAAACAAAATTAACAACAATCCTATTATATCCTATCACTCCTCAAAAAGGAAACAAAAGTATTAAGCTATTCTGCCACTATGTTTTTAATAGCAGGTATTTTTTGAGGAAGGATTCCCAAATTTACATATTATTTTGAAAACTTGTTTTCAATATACATTTTGAAATAGACAGGATTTTAAAAGCTCTGTTTGCACAGGTTTCATCTGTTCCTTTTATAATAGCATCTTTTAAGAACTGTGCCTTTCACGCAGTTTAGTCACTTCTAAGAAAATATTTAGGGAATCATATCCCTACTATTCACACAAGTCAAATCGCTGAAATAAATGGGACTACACCAGAACAAGCAATTATTGAACTGCCACTCCAAGTGTATAAAATCTGACTTCCACTCGTTATTAGTAAGGCAAATTCTTCAATAAATAGAAGATATATGGAAATATGGAAACTGGGGAGAGGGGAATGAAGAATGTTCTGCTAATTTTTCAGGCTATATTTTTCTAAAATACATAAAACATTTACAACCAGCTGATTGTTAAATATTTGAATTTCACAATGAAAAACCCTATTGAACTTTTTTTGTTCTAGAATATAAAAAATAATAATTCTAACATTGGTTTCTAAAGAAATACCCTCTCAGAAAAAAACATATGTATGCATTTCTTTATTTATGAGCTAAGAATGATCAGAAGATGCTCTGTTACACATTACAATAATGTGTCCATTTCCAAGCATGCAGTATTTCAAACAGGCATGGAATGCTAAGCATATGTAGCATTTGTCGAGTCGCAGCACTGAATTGTAAATTGAGTGATCTTGCAGATGTATATACATTCAGACCCTCCCTTCTATGAACCCCTTATTCTATTCACAGCAGTTAACATAGCCCCCCAAATCTTGCATGCTGCCCTGATGTATTTTGAAATCGTGCATGATGAGTTATAGCATGACAAATAAAAATAAAAGCTTACCCAGATATGGCATTGCTAACGTGTATGTCCATCAAAGAGCTATACATTCATGGTAAAGGCTTCCGCCCAAACAAAAGCCCTCCACTACCTTTGTTGGTGAACATGTTAAAAAGTGAAATGAAATAAACAACGCTTATTATTTGTTGAGAAGGATTGTTTAGGAAAACCGAAAAGCACCGAAAGAGCCATTTATTGTCCAAGGAGAAAATTGTACAGATTTGTCTTTCCTCTGAATTCTAGGCAGCCAACCATAATAGCTCTTTGACAGTTCACCTGACTGCAGCAGAAATGGGGGTGTGTGATGGTGATGGTGGATGACAGAAAGGGGCCATTTGAAGTACTATTATGCCGTTTACATAAGAAGATTTCAGCAGACTTCAGCTTCATCTAGTTATACCATCTACACTTTGGAGGATTTCTCTAATTTGTGTTGCTCACTAAAAGCAAGTAGTGCGAGGTGACTGGAGAGAAAAATAAAAGTCAAAATTTTTATATTTAGTTTTTAATGAAAGGATTTCCTAATTGATGTTGGCAGCCTACTCCTAATAATAACTAAAGAAACAAGAACTGCCCACCACCCCTTATTTTAAAAAACCAGCAATGCACCTTCTTTTATTCTCTCTGTTTGGTGTTGTGATTTTCTCCTGTTTTCCTTATAATATTGCCCATATTAATTCTTAATTTCAACGTTGGACAACATTCATATTTCCGATTCTTTTGAAAATGTATGTATATATTTAAAATAATTTCACCCAAAACAGAAATCCCTTGTTCTGGGTAGTTCTATTTATTTAACCGATTCAAGTGAAACCTGTGGGATTCCAGATAAAAAGAGTAACTACTCTAATGATTTAGAATTTTCATGACCAGATTATTAACCTTCTAATAATTTGAATTGCTCAAAAGGTAATTCTGGGGGCACTAGCCACTTATTGCATTGCTAGAATAGGTGTATGTAGGTATATAAACTAGAAGAACAGATGAACACTATGAATATGCCTTTAGGATAAAGATTTGTTTAAATAACATTAAAACATGAGTCACTGGGATAGTAGGGAGGGAAAATATTTTTCACTCCAAATAATTGATGAAACACAATGGGTTTTTAAAGCCATTTTTAACACTAGGCTTTAGTTTCGTGATACAGAATGGCAAGATGTCTGAGTGAGATGGAATCGCTTGCCAATGACAACATGAAAATAGATACTTATTAATCCTCTGTTTTGAAAATAGCTATCCAATAGCTGTATAAGAAAGTACCAAATTTGAGTCAGTGTAAGTTTTTTTTGTCTTCTGCCACTGAATGTATTTCCATTTGAAGGACAGTTTTTCTATGATGTGATATGACTTTCAGTGGATCAAGGATTTAAAATACACAGCAAATCACTTAGTTCAGTGGGAAAGTAATGTGAAAAAGATGCAATACGACAGACTTTAAAGGAAATTCTGTAGTTGTATCCCCCCCCCCGAAATAGATTAAACAAGGTATCTCTTTTCATTTGATAGCTTAATAGTCTCCTTCCCATAAACAAAAAAATCCCTATCCAATATTTAAAATACTACATAAAGCATGTTTTGATACAAAACTATTTTTGTATAAATTGTTCTTTCATGATTCATAGTATATTTGAATTACTTTTGGACTGTCGAATCATGTCAGTAATTGAACTGAAAAAATCTGACAAAGCCCTCATATTTTTGAAGTCTGTGTTCACAAAGAAAACATATTAATGAATTGTACTTACTGTCCTCTTATCAATTTCCTTAAAAAATTATTTGTAAATATGTAGAAAATACTATTTTTATTTTTATTTTTAAAAAATCAATTCTACAATGGATGGGTTTCACTGATTTTATGTCTAAATCAATAGCTTTGGAAAAAAAGAAATTGATGCAATAATGCACTATGGGCAAGAAAAATGTATATATAAAATAACTTCTAAGATTTATAATTTTGAATTAAAGGATTATACTTTTAAAAAGTCACCAAAACCTGCAAATATTAGAATTCATTTTTAACATTGTAATTTTCAGTGTGGGACTTAGCTGTTGTTGAGATTTTTTGCTGAAGTACAAACCTATTAAAAATTAAATTTAAAATTAATTGCTAAAAAATCCCAGAACTGCAGTATGCAAAGTGACAAATGAATGTACTGAAGCTGATTACATTATTAATAGCTTCCAAGGAAAAGCGGTAAAAAAGAAAAAGAAATGGAGATAAATACATTGAATTTAATCCCTGAGTTGGAAGGACTTTGAACCAAGTAAGTTTTGGTTTTTTAATTCACTATGCCATAACCCATAGGGTTCCAGATAATTACTAAATCTCTGAGGGAGTTTTTGAGGAGGCCTAGAAACTATAAGGCAAGGGTGGGCAAAATGTAACCTACTAGATGTTGCTATCTCACTGCAACAAGCTCAAGCCTGACCAGCCAATGGAGGTGAGTTCGAAAATATTTTGGAGGGCCTTCTTTAGGAAGAAGGAAAAAATGGTAGTCATGATCTTATTCCCCAGTATTTTCACCAGGATGTGCTGTGAGTTGATTTCCATTTATAGGATCTCTGAATCAAAGCTATTGAAGATGAGTGTTTTGGACAGGGGAAAGAGAAAGTTGTTAAGTTTGATTCACTAACATTTAGAATGAGACTGGGAATAGGTGATCATAACTTTAGCTCTGTATCCAAATGAGCATCACTAGCTAGAGAAGGAAAGGAAATTGCAGTTGTTGCTTCAGCCCAGGATGATGCATCTGCTGAAACAGGAATCTAATGTCCCATGTCCCCTTGAGGCTGCTGCTGATGTAATAATTTGGAGTTGGCATTGTTGGTTGCTTTCTGTGATCTGTGCTTTAATAGACTGTCCAAACCCAATGCTATTCATGCTCCTCAGTAGTGTAGCTTTTCAAGGCAGAATTTTCTGTCACATTATTATTTTGCCCCATCTAAATGTACCCAAATCACTAGCATTGCAATAATTGAAAACTTATCTTGAAGATATATAAATACAGTTTAAGAATTCAATCATTTAACAGTAGAGAAAGTTACTCCTCAATGCCTTTACAGTTTGTTTATCCACCGTCTTCAAGTGCGCACGAATAATGGAAGTATATATGCCTTCTTTCCCCACTTATGAAATCTGTTGCTAGTTGACTCCAAAATAATATGGTGGAGTTTCCTTCTTTGGATGCTTTTAAACAGAGGCTGGATGGCCATCTGTTGGGGGTGCTTTGAATGTGATTTTCCTGCTTCTTGTCAGGTTTGGACTGGATGGCCCACAAGGTATCTTCCAATGCTATGATTCTATGATAATATGCAAGGTAAACAATAGTAACAAATATGAGTCACTTTGCTCTCAAAGGTTTAGTACTCTGCCAAGAGTACTGACTCATCAAAATGTTGAACCAGCTGTGGTATTATCTTTTATTTGTATGCAAACAGTCTTAGAAAGTATATCCTCCTCTGTGGACCAAAGTAGAAATACTGCTCACAACTATTTGTAGAATGCCTTGTGATTCCTCCTATAAAATACTTGCTTTGGTGTTTTAAGCATATACCAAAAGAAAGCAGAAGAACAATAAAAATAATAAGAAAAAAAACCCCAGAAATTAGGAAAGCAAGAAATCTGATAGCCTAGGGAGAACATGGTGATCTCCTCTAGCTGCAAATTGCCCAGTGTCAGGGGCAACTGGCATCTTCCATGTCAGTGGTGTAATAAATCTACTTTGGATTTATTTCAGACTGTAAAGGAACTGTCCAAGGTGCTGAACCTATTTGAGATGTAGTCTCAGTTTTAGGAGAGCTCTTTTAAAATATAGATGCAATAGACCTCAAAAACCACAAGTATCTACTGCTAGAATGTTGTAAGAAAACAGTGCATTGTGGAGCTTTTCCAAATTCTGCTTTCTGTGATCTCATTGCTTCCCATTCCAGAAAATTTTAGAACTATGGTGTGGTATAAAGGTCCCAGACTAAACTGTCTTTGGTCGCTACAGTATTTGACTATGACAATAGAAAAATTGCCCTTAACTCATCAGTGTACAGACCGATTGGCAAGTGGCTCTGCATGCTTTAGGAGAAGAGTATTTCTCAGGCATACCAAACATGCTATGAGTGTGGGACTGTCTATATCAAAAGCAGCTGCTCTATCATTGAACTGTGGTGAGTGCTTTTCTGAAGGCTCCTGTGGATACTGTTTCAGGAGATTTGCACTCACTAGGGATAAACAATCTGTTATTTATTCCAGAAGCCAACAAAAAAAGAAGGGCATTTCGGGAAGCAAATTATTGTGTCTATGTCCAAATATGTGTGTGCATAGCAGGCACTATTAATTTCAAGTTCATGGGCCTTTCTTTTAAATTTTCAAAAGTTTTTCTTTCTGTGACAGACAGATGGAATTGTGCTAAATCACTTGAAATAGTGAGAAAGTTCAAGTTAAAAGATTTTATTAATATATTCCCAACAGCTGACTTTACTGGTAATCCCACCCGCATTTTGAGGGGAGTTTCCTGTGATGCCCTTCATTTTTTGAGAGTGCAGATGGAGCAGAGAAAGTGGGATCTGTTTTTTAACCAGCTCTACCTATGGCCACTCTACCACTAGCAATAATATAGCTACAAGGAACAAATCCTGCATGCCAAACCTTTGTGTTTTGCTGACTTGAGGCTGGCAGGGTCTCACTCCACCAGATGTGAAATGCCAACATGTACTGCCCAGAGGACCTCATCACTGTGCAGGAGTCAGGCCAAGTCTAATGGCCATGTCCCCACTGCCATATAGAAGAGACAGATTCCATAATTATTTCCCATAAGCTACAAGGGACATCTACGCTAGTTGTGCCTGTTTATTTCCTGGAGTCTTTTAAAATAATGAAGCATCATTCCACAAAACATGTGGGAGGAGACAGAGAATGATGGGCTAAAAACAAGTTAGAAAATGTTTAAAGTTTTAGATTTAAACCAAAAGCTAGTATGTTTAGGGAGATGGTAAGAAATGCTTGAATGCAAAATATGGTCAGGTTAACTAGTAGTCTTAGGCCTAAAGCAAAAAAGAAGAACAAGTAAATGGTAGGATCACTGCATATAGAAAATGGTGAAATACTAATAGGACATATAAAGTTGGAACTACTCAGCACCTTCTCTGCCTCAGTCTTCTCCTGAAATGAAAGCAGTAGAATGAGTCAGCCTTGGGAAAATGGA